AATCGGCCTGAATTTATAAGAACAGATTATAAACTTAACAAATAGATAGAAAATAGTTCGGTTTTTGTCATTTATAACACGAAAAAATCCAAAAATAAAAAAAAAATTCAAGTGGCCGAATACTTTTTTGACTGACTGTATACATATATCTGAATCCGTGACTACTTATCTGCCACTCTCAAGGTTGCCACCATATCGTTGTTAACTAACTTTGACATTTTAATACATATGCACAGTAAGCGAAGACGCATGGACGAAACAGTTCAAAATAACTTTAGACACGAGATGCGCGCCTATATGTGTGTGTGTTGTTGAATCGCTTATCTAGTATTCTAGTATTGAAACCAACGACACATTCGCACGCAAACGTGAAAATTTCGTACATGAGTGCGACAAACAACGTTGTTTCCCGTTTTTATTTTCTTTTTTCGCTTTTCATGTGTAAATGTCTAATTCCGGGAAATGAACGGAAGCATCGACATTACTGCTGTACCCATGATTTTGCTGGTTTTATTTTCACTCGGTGTACATGTGTACGTGTGTACGTGTGCGTGCGTGTTGTACGACCCATTCAATGAGATGCAGCTTCAGAGCAAAACGAATTCAATTTTATGGTTCAATAATAATAAATATATCTACAACAAAATATTGATATTCGTCATAAAATTGGAAAAGTTTCGACGCTAAATAGATAAAATCGGCGAAAGTGGGCTTACGCTTACATTGTACTTTTTTATGTTTCTCATTGGAATCGTGGAAATAACTTTGCACTGGCTTCAAAAATGGCTCAGATAGAACGAACGAATGAATGAAAGGGAAAAAAGCAAAAGAGCTGAATACATATGCATATTTCGAGATAAGGAAATCATCTTGCTTTTAAAATGAAGCTAATAAAACTTTTTTGAACTTTTCACCGTTCGTTCCCTTGAATGGTATGTTTGGCACTTACACTGATGAGATCTCGATATCGGAAAATTACCGGATCAGAAACCGGAATTGGGAACAAAAGAAGAAAATCAAGACAACATCGTATTAAAAACAGGACGACATAGTTTCAAGTGAAAAGCCTCTTAAGCTAAATACATTCGATCGAATGCGCTTAGCACATTATTGCGAATCATATTCAATGTAACTTTGTTTGGCATTTTGTTACTGTTGCAATAGTTTAATGGTTCCGATGAACATTTATCCCGCTTGTTGAAAACATAAAATGAACACTTCGAACAAGGCACAAAATCTACTAGTTTTTGTAGTTTTATGAGCCGTATTCCCATTTATGGCTTGAATGTTCCAATTTTGTAGAAAAAAAAACTCATTGAAAGTGTGGATCAGCGGGAAATGTGTATCAAAGTAATAGTAAATTATTGTTTAAATTTTGAATTAGATGGATTAGAACGTGAAGCATATTGGAACATATAATGAAAATGGCTTGTAGTATATTCTCGTCTCATCATCTTAGAATAAAATTCAATGGTTTTCGTGCATCTCTCTTTTGCTCTGCCTCTCATCAAACTTGGGATCGTATCGAGACGAAAATAAAAATAGTGAAAGAAAATGTTGAAAAGTTAAACAAATGATTGTTAAGCCAGCATGAAATGCGATTGAATTTGTTTCCAATTGGATAACAACAAGATAAAACTTTAAGTTGTCGTATGTCGCAGTCTTCATGTCATGTTTTGCCGCTAAAATATTCAAACTGTTCCCTTGTCGGTGTCATCAGCTGAATGGGGACACAGGGGGGGGGGGGGGGGAAGAAACGGAGAGAGAGAAAGAGAACGAAAAAGAACTCAAGTTCTACTCCGAGAAGAGCAAAAGCGAGCAGAACAGAACAGAACGGAACGGAACGGAACGGAACAGAAGAGACGGCGAATTGTATGCAAAATATGGGTTGTATTCATTTGCTCACTTAACGATGTGCCGTTCCAAATCCGATCCCATCGAACAACACACTGCATATCTCTTAAATCACTGCATTAGCATTACACTCACCCAACTGAACCTCGATAAACGTAAAAACAGAAAATGTGTAGCGATTTTCTGATTTATCTATTGCATCTTTATCCAATTGAGAGTTGAATATAACTCTTTCACTCCGATGAAGCATCACAGTGTGCCACCCCAATCACACTCACACTCTCACTTACCAACACTCACACATACACAAACTCCGCTATCAATGATAACAAACTGTTCTTTTTTTATCTCTTTCTTTGACCTGTCTCTGTCTCTGTCTCGTTTGCTCAAGCAAACATTCAGTCATGCTACCTAAAAGATTTAACCCTTATCAAGGATTAAAATTAATGATGGGAAAATGGAAACCTTTCTTTTATTTTCGATAAATTTTCGATGAATACAAGCCATAGGCGTAAGTACGTCAAACCGAATCGCGCATATCATGTACGATTTTTTTTCTCTTCATTCTGTTTGAAGAGTATGAGGCAGGAATTCCCTTCACAAATTTATTTTGTTTGTTTGCGTGTTTTCTTTTCCTCTGTAAATTCTTTAAAAAGCTTAAAAAGGTCATTGTAAACAATTTTTTTCCTGTTAATATTTTCAACACTGTGATTGTGATCCATATTTCAAAATCTTTGAATAGAAAATGTGCCAACATTGGATTTGCATGATGATGATTTTGGTTTGGACCAATTCTTCACTTTCCATCGTAAAATTCTTTGCATTTAAAAATAAATAAAAATGAAAACCAACAATGCCAAACTTTTGTCGATTGTAAACATTGAAACAATGACATTGGCAATGGCAATGGCAATGGTACGGATGTGACGAACAAAAACATGTATTTCAATTAATAACAGACCAAGAAAAACGCATACACTTTGATATCATCGCCATACAGATTATTCAATGGATCAAAGTAATATGTTGACTTTAATTAAAATTAGATATTGTTTGCTAATTAATGCACGCCTTTATGTCATGTTTTCTACAGACGAGAGAAAAGAGATGATGAAAAAAAAACAACATATACACACAAACACAAACTTTTCATAAATTATTCGCCATGAAAATCGAAAATCATCGAAAAACTTTTGACTTTGTTTGTTCAAAGCGGCAACAGCACACAAACTTAAACATTTTCGAACTTAAATAAAAAGAAGGACGGGGCATAAGAACAAAACTTGAAAAACTTTATTTTGTTTGCGACTGAATACTGAAAGCGAAACTTCTTAAAGTGCTGTGTTGTTTATCTAGAATAAAAAGGAAGCAAAGGGAAGACAGAGAGCAAATGAAGGAACGAACGGTAACGAATGAGAAAAGGCGAACGAGTGAGCGAACACAGCGACGAGAATATGTTTGAAAATAGCGGCAAAAACCTTTTTGCCCTTTTTCGATTATAAAAATTATTACGTTAAATAAAATTTGCCACTCTTTAATAGATAACCGTATCGAATATTGATCAAATCATTTTCAATCGCAATCAGAACACCATCTGGCCGAGATTTGAATTGGGAATGGGATGAGAGTTGGTGAGAGGGAGAATCTTGAGTATGTGTAATGTGTGCATAGTTTTTCGAGTGGCTATAGAAATCGACATTTTCGACTCTCTATTTTGCCGTTCGCTCTCTCTCTCTCTCTCTTCGATTGCAATCCATTCTCTTCGGTGAAAGTAGGTCAACACATTACAAAGAACATATTAAACAACACTTGAACATATATATTTTCCACTGATGCCAATATTTTCTATTTCATTTTCCCTTTTTTTTCGTCTCCCTCGTTTCAGATTACCAGCGGCGAAATTGCAATTTCAGGAGGAAAATGTCAGCACTTCGAGTGTTTGCAACGCAGATAACCATACATTGAACGTCAAACTTGAAAAAGTACGAAATATCGACACAAAGCAGAAGTGATTCCGAAAACTTTAATGAAAATTATGGGAAACGCTGTTTTCTAGACGAGGAGAAAATTGTTTGATATTCCGGTCAAACAAAAGAAGGAAAAGAAACGAAAGAAAGCAGCAAAAGAAGGAAAAACGTGCGACACAGAAAGAAAACGTCAAAAAGTTGTGTTGGCAGCGGTTCTGAAAAGCGTACTTTAAGTGAGTCTTAAGTATGTGCTCAGGTGGAATACTACACTGAAGAGAAGAAAAAAAAAAACAACATTGCAAAACATAAGCTACTTGCAATTTTGCAACAGTACCATTTTTTCTCATTCTTACTCGCTTCGCGTGCATTCGGAAATTATTCTCAGGACAAGATCGATCTTGTTGTGTTGGTATTTGCATGCATTTGGGCTTGGTTATGTGAATAAAAGTCAATGTTTAAAAGTAGTTCATTTTGGCATGAAAATAAGGAGGTGAGCGTTTTAGTCAAGCAAAACGAAGCATAGCCAAAAAAAGAGACCACGACGCCAAAGGCAACCCGAACAATCATTGCTCCTCTTTGCATCAAGAATAAAAATAGAGAGAGAAAAAATGAGTATGCGTTAGCTGCCATTGAGCGAACGATCCGAAAACATGTAATACAATCTGAAATGCATATTCAGCAGCAAAAGCTACAGAACGCGTGCGTAAATGATTACGTATCCTCAGTGTCGCATTGCCAGTATCCAATGTGGAACAGCTAATAATAACAATAACAATAACGCGCTATTATAACGTAGCATAATAACAATAACAATACATCTATATTTCTATTTGTGTCACAATTCACGCGCGTACACATTGCCGACGACGCGATACCGAAGTGAGAGTGTCAAGCGAAAGTTATCCGAGTGCATATAGGTTTCAGACGTGTGCACGAGCGCCAAAACATATACGTGTTGTTATTACACATCGAAATAAAATAAGCTACACAAAAAAAAAAAAAAAATATGAAATAAAAATCGAAATGTAGACGCCGAGCGCGCGTTCAACAGAGATACGAATCTTGAATCCTGAATCAACGGAATCTTTGAATCTCTTCTCGTCGAGCAAAACGTATAACAAGAAGCCGCGGAATATATCCACAGTAGCAACACATTACGCCCAGCCACATCCAGCAATAATACTATATTAAAGTAGCAAAAAAAATAATAAGAGAAAATTATAATTCAAAACTGAAGCATCATCTTTTGCGTATGTGTGGCTATGTGTGTGTTGCCAGTTGTGAGAGTGTGAGTGTGTGAGAGAGATTGTATGTGTTTGTGAGTGATGCGCCCCAAACAAAACTGACTATGTGTGGTGCGAATGTTAGCTTGGTCGTACAGCAACAGTAAACGAAATCATTGCGTACGTTATGTTGAACATGGGACAAGGATAAAAAGTCAAAACCAAGCGGTAGCAAACAATATCCAGCTTACTAACATGTATCGTGCATGTAAACATTTTTAAGTTTTGCATGAAATGCAGCATAAAAAAGACAAAATCGTGTAAGAAGTTCCAAAAGCACTGAGCTCAACTTATCTCGAAAGAAACACAGATTCATTTCAAAAGAATATTACTACGAGCATTGGAAGCAAAAAGCGGAGAAAAAGTAAACAAAACAGTGTAGAAGGAAAATGATAATTTACAGTATAGAGTTTAAATGGGCGAATCAGCATACACAACATGCAAATTAATCGCAACGTATAAGATTTGATGTGAATCTTTGGGTTTTTTTTTTGTCTCTTGGAAAATGTTGCGTTTCGAGCAAATTGCTTATTAAAAGCGCATTTTTCTTTGTTATGGTAATTTTTTATCATTTGAAATTTTATGACACTTTGTGTGTTTGTGCGCGCGAGCGTTTTATTTGCGGATACGGTAATCTCAACGTTGAATATAGGACTAATTCAGTTAAACCTGATTCCGTAGATAATCCATGTGTGCGAAATACGAAAAGCAACGGAAAAAAAGGCAACAATACCACCTAAAAAAAATTATAATAGCAGCAACAAAGGGCCGCATATTAAGCCAAGAATAGTATTAAATAACAACAATAATGATAAAATGTTGATAATAATATGAGTGAGTAAATAGACAAAGAGTCCGAATTAGAAACAAGAAAAGTGAAAGAAAATTAACGTACAACACTGGAGCGTTCAGAAAAGGAGAGTGTTATATAGTGTGTGTTATATATGTTTATATATGTGTTAAAATAAAAGCACACGCAAAAACCCGATTTTTATTTAATTAGAATAAAGTAGAATAAAGTTAATAATACGGCAAACAATTTGGATTGTGTTTCAAATGAAGACTTGTGCATCGAAAATTAGCCACCATAATCTGAGATATCAACGATTGCAGTGCCCACCGTTGTTTTCATTGCCACATCATCATTATCATCATCATCATCATCAACAAATACAGCGACAGCAGCAGCAACATTCCAAATCTCGTACAATGAGCTTCAACGGTACATTGAAGGTCTTCGTCAATGGTGCCTGGATTACATGGATTTACTTATTTGCCATTTTAATTCGACTCGAATATGTTGATGCCAAAATAGGTAAGCGGCCAATTCCATATGAAAAATATTAATGTCAATGTGCTCACATTCTCATTCACATTTTCCTCTCCCATTAACCCAAAATGTGTGTATACACATATATAGAGATACATAGCATAGTTGTGTGTGCGCCCAGCTGATTTGGCTAGCAACAGCAACCATGGTATCCAAACATAAACATAATTAGTGCACTGAGATAAATATAAGTAGCTGACTCTGATATGGTTAACATCCGTTCAAGTTACGCATACAACGTACTCTACCATCTAATGGACATTGCTTCACATTGCCTTACGTTGAACTGACAAAATCACACCAAACCATAATCATATACGCTTTAGAATGGTGCAAACGGAGCCTTCGGATACATACAAACATGTATCAGATTAGAAATGCGTTCAACTTTTCTGCTAACGTCTCAATTTTCCCTCGTTCTAAGCACCAGCAGAGCGAATATGCTGGCGTTTTGCTTCGTATTGTATATACACACGCTTTATTTACTGTTTTGCGTGTTTAAATGCGTATTCAACAATTTTTTCTTTCTGCATTTTATTCACTTCACCCAGTGCGTATTATAATGATTGTGTGCATTGACGGATTCACCGAATAAATTTTATTGAATGCTCAGAGCGCAACAACGCAATGTAGAGAAAATTACATCAAAACTCATACACAAACAAGAGGAAGCGCTCTCCATCTCTAGATCACACACACACACACATATACATAATTACTATGATAAGTCACACGATAGAAATGCTATGGAATATAAAGAAGCGTTTGATAATTATAATAGCATTACGAATGACTTTCTCGTTAGCGTTACCATTGATTAATGAAGAATTAGTAGTGCATAATCATCGAAAATGTTTCTATCCCTTATTTTCTCTCTCTTTCTCTCTCTCTCTCTCTCTCTCTCTCTCTCTTCCATTTCTCCATGAATTGTGACTTCATTCGATGTTGAAGCGCTACAAAACTCGATACAGGCATCGGGCATGTTGTTTTTCGCAATGGTGTACATTGCATATTTGTTGGGAGAAGGAGATTGTCAGTTGAAAAAAAACTTGCACAACAGGACCGATAAAATTAAGTAAAAGCACTCCCAAAAGAGACAGCAAATCGCAACCAAAAACGACAGCAAAAAAGCACCAAAGAATCTAGAACCAAATTACAAAACTAGAAGTAGACTCTAGCTCTCCCGAATCGAGAGCGTCAATTTGAGTGGCATCGGGAATTGAAGTGAGCCTAATGGCTGAACATGAAATAGGCGATTGTGGCAAAATAATGGGAATGGAAAGAGGGAGAACAAACGAAAGAGCGTCTCTGAAACAACAATAGATTACGCACATTGCATACAGCGTGTATCAACACTTAATGAGATATTTTGCTTAGCATTTTGCATTTTCTCGCATAAGCCATTCGAAATCCATGTGTCAACCCAACCGTCTTGGTGTATATCTAGCCCATCTCATTCCCATTCTCATTCTCTTTCACTCATTTCATTTCCACTTCCTTTCTTTCTCTCTTTTTTTTTTCGTTGACATATTTATCGCATTAAATGAAGCTCACAATGAAAAGTGTTCAGACATATAACACAAGCTTCACTCGCCGAAAGACAATTTTCAAAATATACTTATTTTGCCGTTAATGAGTTGCCTCTCGAAAATTACATGATATTCAATATGGTTTCCTTTTCCATTTTTCGTTTGCTCACACCATGCTCAACGACTATGACGACGACAATACTCATTCGCCTTTGCGTCGACACATCAATCGCATTTGTTGTGCAGTTTAATCATTAAGCGCTTGTAATTTAATCCAAAAACTACCAGTTCAGTTGAGCGAATTTTCATTTCACTTAATTTTATTTCATTTTATTCAGTTGATAAAGTATATTCTGGTTCCTTTTTTTTTCCTGCCATTGCTGCAGGTTGTTGTTGCTGTTGTTCGGAAGCGATAGGCGAAAAAAAAAAATAGCGCCATTGTCTCTATTATATGGAAAAAAAATTATCCGCCCCCTCCATTACAACCAGAATGTTAAAAGTTAAATGATGACAATGTGCATGTGTATACTTTATTTTTCACATTTAATCAGCTTTACATTTCAACATGAAAACATAATGTAATAGCATTTGAGCGCATAGTCAAACAGACCGCATGAGAATTGTGGCCAAAAATTGGGCAGAAACCGGAGACGAATGGGTAGCAACACACTCGCTCACCCACAAACCCTAACTATTTTACATTAAAATGAAAACTTATTTATTTTATTCGTCCATCAGACAAATGCCTACAATGCAAAATATGAAAATAATTAATGAATAATAATTCGGTGCTGCTGATAATAATGAGGATACCCCTCGACAAGCGCATATAATCATAGTAACAGATAGCAAAAATCTGCTCTCACACTCACACATTCCCATGAACGTACGATTTCTTTTTTTTTTGGGGGTTATTGCTTGTGTGTCCCCATTTTTGCCGATTCTCTCGTGCATTTTGGTTTTGTTTGCATAAATATATGCAGCGCAAAGAGAATATGAACAAAAAAAAAAAATAACACGCACCGAATCTGTCATTTAAATAATCACATTATGCATGTAAACGGAGTAATTTTTCGCACAAAATATTCCGCGAGATATTCATCCGAAGCGCAAATTTTAAATATACAATGTTATCGGTCGATGGGTTGAGCGACAAATGTACACATACGCACGTATCATCTGCCATACATTCATACCACCATCAGGCCCCGAAAAAAGGTTATATCCATGAATGAAAGCGCATTTTTGCATCCGATCTCATGATTTTATGGACGTTTGTCCATCATCTCTTGGATAGACAAAAAAAAAAATGGCAATGACTTTTTCACATAACATTCTACCCATTACAATCTTCACCGGAGAGATGATTGTGCGTTGAACATAATCAGATTAAATTCTTTCACTCTTTTTCCCTCTTCCTCTTTTCAACTATGTTTTATTTTTTTCTTCCTTCCATTTTCGCAAACAATTTGAAAAGTGGAATTTTTCTCTCGGTTGAATCATTCCGAAATTGCATTGTAAATGTCTGAATGATGTGATTCTTAGCTTTGCATTTCTCTTTTTTAAAAAAATGCCACTGATTTGATTTCTTTCTATTTATCACATTGTACCGTTGTAAACATAGATCGTACATTGGGAAAGTAGTTTTTCGTTATGTGCACCTTGATTAAAAGTATGAATATGAAGTGATGGGAGGATTTTTTTTCTTTCGCTTAACAAAAATGCTTTTGGCCAATGTGAAACATTTTTTTTTTTCTTCATATAAGGCAGCACCCGAATATGCACATAAAATGAACGTATGTACACGATACATGCCATCATCGAAGTGCCTCTGAAACTGAAACATATCAAAAATGGTTGGCAAACATGCAATTGGACCCAAAAGAATATTTGCTTTCTCCAATCACAGCGGCACCACTATTTCGGTTGCGATGTGCAAATGCAATGATTGTGAAACGGTTTCGGTTTCATTCTCATTTACATGATTCTTTTTTTTTTCCTTCTGAACACCAGCCTCATCGCACACACCATCAGCATTACCATCATCGTCATCATGATATCACGGCGAAAATGTGAAATTCCCGACGACTATCCACTTTGCATATCATTCCAAATATTTATACCCATTTGCACGAATCTTTTGCAAACTGCTCAACTGTAGTAACCAACAAAAAAGGTGGCATTACCCTTTTGCGTAATCAGATGAGCACATTGCCATTTTTTTCTCTTTCTATTTTCTTTTCTTTTCATTTCCAAATTTTTTTCTATTCAACTATGCATACGAATTTATGGTGTTTTCAATTGATTCAATGAGTTCGTATTGCGGAATAAATGGATTTGCATTCTTTTGAAGAAGAAAAAACGACTTCGGGCTAAATTGTGAACGACGCTACACGGCTCCATCATCAACAGAGATTATTTCAATCGACAGAACCTTCATCGAATGTGTTTTATGTTGTTGTTCCACCAACTAATATCGAACATGCGATCAAGCAAATTGTTATCATCGCTTGAGGTGTCTGCACAATTAATAGTTTTTTTTTTTTTTTTTTTTTTTAATATACAAGTTTTTGAATTTGCATGCAAAATTTCAGCCACACTACCTATCAACCTCATACCACCCGAGATTCTCTTCGAATCCGGTCGGATTGAATGTGTGTGTATATGAAGATACTGATTATGCCTAGGCAAATTGTGTTTACCTATGGTATTTTCATCGAATCATGCGGAGTCGGAGTATATAATATATGTGTGTGTATAGTTTGCATCAAATTGAATAAATTTGTTGTCGAACTAATAAAACCCATTTCCTGCTCGTATTACGGTCAAACTTCATTTACTTGATTATTTTATACGGCTCCCGTTCTATTGGCTGTCTTCAGTTTTGCGTACGCGAATTTCCGTTTTGCATGTACCACATAAGTCTATACACATCCAACATAATAAAATTTTGATGATGATAGCTGAGGCATTTTTCCACGTTCACAACGCCATGCCAATCTCTTGCTCACACTCTCAACGAGAAAAGCGAGAGATATGTAAGTGTATGTGCGTTGTTTGAAAACTGAGTAAAAATAGCTGAAGTGTGTGTGTGTGTGTTAGGTTCGGGTCAAAAATTTATTTAAAGCAGTGACTCGATGATGCTCCTAATGAGAAGCAGCATATGTACCACATATATTTAGAAAAGTTTGCGTTTATTTCGCTTAATTAAATTTGTTACTTACGAGATGAAGCTAAAGAAGGCCTAGAAACCAAATCTGATGCGTGAGAATATTTTGAAACTGCAAAAGTTTCCAGCAACGATAACCATTATCGCAAAAAATTACGACTAAAACTAAATGCCATAGTATGTACTTTGTAATTGCATAACTGAGCTCTTCTCATATTCTCCTCTCCATCTCTATCTCAGTCTGTCTATCTCTTTGCATCGTTTGCCCGTTCATTTCTCAACATTTT